TTATTCTGGAACAAAGTCTGCTGGCTGATTTAGTAAATTGACTTGCCGGATAACTGAATTAATCAAATTCATTGTCATTGTGAAGATGAGTTAACAACTGTTTGTCTTGCCGGCAGAGGGGGGGAACAAACCAATCCACTTATGTGTAACCGAAAGAGGAAGCAGAGAAGTGAAGGGGAGAAAGAAAGGGAAGAACGGAAAGAGAGTAAAGAAGTTGCCGTGCAGAGAAAGAGAGAAGTTGGATGTGTGATGGTGAAGTGTCTGCTCTCATTAGCGCTCAGTCTGTGCTGTCCACATGGTGTTTTGGCAAGAGAGAGAGAGTGTGCGTGTGTTGAGTGAGTGAGTGAGAGGTCCACATGAAGTGTGCCGTGTGTGTCTTTAGACCTAGCATAATGCTGAGGTGAAGTCCGCTCATGTGTCAGACCATGGGGAGTCACCACACCCCCCCCATGCCCTTATAAGGAGTGTCTAGTGTCCCTGTGGGGCCTCCCGCCATCCATCCAAAGCATCCCACCTCCTTTTGCCTCACTCTGTTGCCATGCAGTTTCTCCAGAGGAGGGACGGCGGGCCCCAGACTGATGAGGACTATTTACTGTGACAGATAGGACTGTCTGTCTACAGCCATGTTGAGAGCCATTGGAGGCAATCAAAATGCTCCAATGTTTATGTATGAATTATTATGGGACTTGATGTCTGCCACCTGTCCTGTAAACTGCATTTATCAACATAATCAATCAATAATATCAGGTAAAAGCCGCTCCTCTTTTACTGTTAGCCCTGTAAACCCCAAGCCGATTCGGGGTGTCCTTTTGCTCCTGTCAGTGGCCTTGGTTTTCACTGCTCCTCTCTCTGCAATCATGGCTCGAAGTAGAGAGAACTCACACATGTCCTGTGTGCAGTATAACACATCTACAATGCCATGAATCACAAAAAGAAAAAAACGCAAGTGGAATTTCTTTGATAATTGATTTTACAAAAATTTGAAAACAATGGAATCTATCTATCCAGCATTTTTCCGAGGGACGACAAGTGTTACCAATGTTGGAAAAAGTGGAGGCTCCAGGTGATGTTGAACCATTAATATTTATTGAACTATTAACAGCCTCTCCTGTCCTCTGTGTTCAGCAGCCTGCAGTTCAGTCCAAGTTAAACAGGTCTTTTGTCAGGCGAATCAATCATGGCTTCATAAAAATGTTTTTGATGAAATATCACAATTTGAAGCTTCGTTTTTGGGTTAAAGAGGGTTAAAGTTATTGTTGGTCAGCTGACAACAAGTTGATGTCAAAAACTGTTTGACATGTGACACCAATACTTTGACTTAGCATACCTGGTGTCCCAGGTGCTTATCAATTGTATCAACATTTTAAACACTGCTGATAAAGAGTTGTAACTTTTACTTATGAATTGCAGAGATTCAGCTGGGTTCTTCATGTCACATTGGACGTGCACTGCCTCCTGTTTGTCAGAGTGCAACAGTGCCATCTATTTCTTTCTCCTCTGCTGTCACCCTGTGCAGTGTGTCCTAGTGACCATTAGCAGCTGCAGCTCGTCACAGGACATTTAATCCACCAATGAGCATGCAGCAGACAGAGCCTTCATCAGCTTTATTTTGCCTGTAACAGACGAGGGTGTAGATGTCGCTGTTGAATAATTCAGAGTGTGTTTAGTGATCTGGAGGGCTGTATGTGTTTGCTGTATGTGTCAGGAAGAAAAGGGAAGTCTGTTAATGTGTAAAGTCAATACTCTACCTGTCTGATGAGCAGATGTAACATGCACACAGACACACACGTTTCTAACATGCTGTCTGTGAGATTGTTGTATTTCCTCTCAATCCAAATTGATTTTAACCCAGATTCCTTCTTTTCCCTTCTTCCAGAGACAAAGAGAAAGCGGATGATATAGACAGCAACCCGAGCTCCTCCACCAGAGAAGGTGATAACACACACACACACACACACACACACACACACACACACACACACACACACACACTTATAAAAGCTAGTGTAGTCATGTTTGAGTAAGACCACACATCAGCCCAGCACCAGCGCTGTGGTTTAGATGATGACAGTGGGGATCGGCCAGAACTTGTTGTATAAGAACCAAACTTTCTCCCTTGAAGGCTGTTGAACTGTTTGTGTTCAGCGCTGTTCAGGAGAAAGATACCATGTCACGCTGTTAAAGTCTGATACAAGTTTGTCCTAACAAATGACAATTAAAAACACTTACCTTGACCTTGTTATATGTGGAAAGAGCAAAAATGTAATTAGTCACGGCATTCTTTAAATGTCTCAATGTCAAAGTGAAATGACTGTGAATTGAAGTAACATTCAAGCAACTTTCACAATCCGTATTTGACAAACACTGCCGATGCCAACACATGATGAAACATGATTCAGCAAATTGACGAGCTTTCCTCCCAGACATGAATCTGACTCTGAGGATAAAGCATTCTTATGTCATGGAAAAGAGCTGTGATCTGCTCATACATTGTTGTACTGGCAAATTAAAATGATTGTTAATACAGTATAATTGAGCAAAGTTGTCCGGATGAGGTGAGAAACACCATCATAGCATGTCTAGCTGTATGTCCTGAAGTGTCATGAAATGATGGATGCTTTTAGGAGAACAGCTGCAGGTGTTTCTGTTGGCTAGGACAGTTCTGGCTCTGGTTCGTCTTTGGCAAAAGAAAATGCCCTGCAGAGTTTTCTCGCAAACAAAGGGAAGAACGTTCACGTCTTCTTCTTTACTGCCTTTATGTTGCTGCGTTTCTCCACGTTACAAGTACCAACTGTTGAAAGTGGGAGCAGTTTGATACCAGTGGCAGGATGTGAACCTGCTTTCTATTTACAAAACAACGTAAAAAACTCCACAGGGTTCCTTTAATCAAGGACTTGCATGAAACATGGATCCCACTGATTGAAATGAATCCTATTTTCATGCATTTGATCATTTGGATGATTGTCTGTCCCTGTTGATGGTTGAAGGTTAAAAGCATCAACACACTATTAGACGTGAGAGTGCTGTTCACATGGGATGATTGTATTTGTCAGACTTTCTTTCCCACTTTCCATGTAAAAGACAAATATGAATCCTTGTAGTAAAACTAAATGCTAAATAAATTCACCTCTCTACAAATGATTTAGTTTGTAACAGCAGTTGTTTCACAGAGCAGGGAAGGACAATTTAAACGTGTCGCTGCCTCGAGCTAGCTGTATTTATAAAGGAGACTGCTGCACGCTTTCAAAAACATGTTTTGATGCAGGAGAAATGTTTAAATTGAGGTTAAAGGAGGACAGTTTGAGTCACTGCAGTCAGTGATGCTAGACCAAGACCGACAAGCTGACTGACAGGGTCATATAAAGTATTTTAGCTTGAACACCATTTGGTTGACTGGAGGGGTTTTAAACTTTGCTTTATTCTACAAAATGGATTTGGTCAAAGAGAGGTCTCAGTACGACTTCTTTATATATATCAGGACCTTCTCGTCAACAGGGTTATAAAGAGAAAGATGTGTAGTTTGTGGTAACACCCTCGGCACATTCTTCACAAAAGCATCCCTTTACATGGCACACTACATACAGATGTTAATTCAACGCACGTCAGCTGATGGTAAATACTACAGGGAAGAGGAAAGTCGAAGTTTCCACACTTTCAGTCCAGGCCATAGAGATAGTGGTTGTGAAAGAGGAACCAAGCAGACAAGAAAATTCCGAGTGTAGTTTCAGTTTCCCTGTCTGGTTTGAAGATGGGCCGGTGACGTGTAACAGATTGCTTTATGGTTCAGTGGAGCTCTTCCTTCTACGTTCGTTGTGCTGCTCCTCACCTTGGCTGAAAGGGTTCATGATACAGAGCGGCTCACCTGTTGCTTGTACAATGATTCAGGTTACCTTGAACTGTAGATACCATCCAAAGACTTTAGTCTGCAACTGTAGTCCCATACACATCACCGCTGAACCATTCAATTCAACAGACTTTCATGTAGTCCCAATTGAAATGAACTTTCATTTGTATGTGCACACTCTCATGCATTGTCACTCCTGGGCTCTCTGGTTCTCTCGCTCTTTTTCTGTCGAGTCAGTGTTTGAAAGTCCTTAATAGGATTAAATGAAATACCCATCCCATCTCCTGACCTGTGTACAACCCGGGTCCAGAGGAGGCTTTTGAAGCCGGCTCAGGTGATGTACGTTGAGCCATTCAGATAGAGTAGACCATCATTGTGGTTTTAAGTCTGCTCATTATCTGTGCCAGGAGATGATAAGCAGAGGCCGCGGCTGCACAGAGGCATTGATTAAAATGAGAGTGCATCTGTTGTGTGAAGCAACTGAAAAACACGTCTGATACACTTGTGGTCTAGACGGTTTAGCCAACTGTGGTTTGTATTCATTCAATCACACATTACACCAAGTTCTACTAACGATCGTTATCTGCCGATGTTCAGTTAAATATACGATCAGGACATCAGCATTCATGCTCTTCTCGTCAGCGATCTGATAATGTTACACTGAACAACCAAACAACCAATCAGAGTTTAAACTGACAGGAGGACGAAGGTTCTGTTCACTTACATTATGATGCGTTCAGGCTCTGCTCAGTGAAAATGAGAACTGGGCGAAGGTAAATTATAACGTTATCATGATGTGTTCACATGTAATCTGTAAAATGTAGTGTTGGTGAGAAACTTGAATAAATCCAGTAGGTTGTAGGAGATGTTTTCAAACAACATAAATAGATATTAGAATTATGACTTGTTTACACTAGCTCTAAACAGATTGTAATACATCATCAAAACTACTCATCCAAAAAAATACAATGTTTTACTTCCTTAACATTTGAATTGTGAGTTTTTATGAAGAAGAAAAAAACACTATAGATGACGAAAACAAACATTTAGAATTGTTGATGCTTTACAGACTTCAGAGCAGTTTAAATGATTTAGGAGCCTTGTAGACCAGCTGCTATAATCAAACAACAATATGGATCATCAATGATTGGCATTTAGTATCTCACGTGATCAGGGATCTCTTAAAGTTATATTTACTCTCTTTTTTTCTTTTGTGCTGATCCAATCTGTGACTCTGATCTGTGTTATGATCCGGTGCACTACTGTTAGCTTCAACTGCTCTTTCCTTTGCATGGGAAAATGTCTGTCTATTCACTGTGTAAGGTCAGAGCAAACAATCTGTACTCCTGCTAGACACGATTGGTTTAATGGCATGTTGATGAGGAGAGCAAGAATCTAATGGGTTAATCTAATCTAAAGCTCATCTTTTTCATTTCCTCTTTGGCTTCTGGAGAAACACGAAATAGAGAAAGCTGCTGGTGGAGCTGGTTTGTTTACCTGGGGGGGGGTGGTTTAACTGTCACAGGACATAATCGGAGCTTGAGTGTGCATATGCATTGGGAGTTTTACTAGCTTAGAATTCTGGTTAAAAGTATTAGTGAGTCAGGTTTGTGAGCTGCAGTATTGCCTATTCTTCACTGGATCTGGAGACTGATCAGTTTGGGTCAAAGTGTTGCTCTGAATCACCGCTTTCTCCATTAACGGGAGCCTTCGCGTACCAGAATGCAATGCTGCTACATTTTGAGTGACATCACCACAATCACATGCACTCCACAGTGTTCTCAAACTAATACCTGGGCTTGCTAGCTATGTTAATTGTGCACACACACTCCTATGACGCAAACATAAATTAGTCCAACAGTGTGTCTTTACCTTGAGGCATCTTAAAAGCTTGAAAATGAGGGTGTGTTTCTCCCTAACACACTTTATATAATGAATGAAATGAAAAGACATAGAACACCTAGAATTGTGTCTGGACTGTTATCGTCACGTGGTCCGCAGAATCCCTCCCTGTGGAGGTCCTTGGATAGCGGTCCTGATAGAAGTGGCTCTGCTAGTGGTTAGCTGCTACCTGAGCTCTGCTGGAGATGAAGGAGAGGGAGTCTGCTGAGGAACTTGTTGTAGCCGCAGGTCACGGTTGTTCTAGAAAAAGAAGGGTGGACTGCTGCGGCACATGTACCAACATGACAGCATTTCAGCACAACTCTAATCCCTGTTAGTGAAATGTAACGTAAACCAGCACTGCCCCCTTCTGGTGCAACCTCGTGTTTCAACCACCACCGTAGGAAAGTCATTATCAGACACATTCTAATATTATTCTAATTTAATCATTTCTCCAGAAGCAAAGCTGTGACCGTAGGAACTGTGTTCCCGCTGCCACTCGTATGCATACACGAGCAGTGCAAGAAGAGGAATGGATACCATGATTGAAAATAGTCGACAGCTTGCCGGAGGCTGTGTGTAAAAATGCAGTGTGATTATCATGTGCACGCTGCAGCACAGTGTCTCTTTTGTTGTCTCTTCACACCACGACTTGTGAAAAGGTTGGATGTGTGTGTGAGAAGATATGACTCTGCCCTCATAGCTTCTTCATACAGTATGAATCTGTAACTTCATGTCCTTTGTAGACTCTAAACCACAGAAGCTGTTAAAGACAAAAAGTCAGATTTTAGAGTGCATCTGCTTTTTTTCAAATTCAGATACCAAGTTTTATTTCCCAGCCTGCATGAACACAACATCTGATTAAATCTTTTCAACCCAACAAGGTCATACTCTTCCCAATAAGCGTGCCCATGGTGGGCTGTGACGTGGCCTCACATTAAGCTGTAGGAGTGTGAGGCCTGCTGGGATTACTCCCTCCATGGCTGAGGAGGTAGACCTTTCCCTGTTAAATTACCACCTAGCTTCTGCCTTCTGCGTCCAATAAAACCTTTATGGAGCATAGCTGCCATTTAGGACCACGTCCCTGTGTTCGGCCACGTTTGAGAGGAATCCAAAGCAGCAGGGAAGTTGGTTCAGAACCTCAGAGTTTTGTACAACGAGGGTGGGAGGACTTTTTGCTTTGTCAGCCTCTTCACTGACCAGGAAACACACACACAGGTGCACAAGGTGAAGGCAGAGACTAAATTCTTTCTTATAAAAACACACGGTTAGAAATACTGTTTCCCTTTTGGTTTAAGTTATGTGAAATGACATTAGTTTAAAAGATGAGGTCATTGATTGAAGACAATTGTAGAGCTCAAACAATACATCAGTAGATCGACAGAAAAGAGAATCAACCAAACTGAATAATTTAAGTCATTTTACCTAAAACTCTCAGTTTTCTTCTTCTTTCTCAAATATACTGTTTCCTCTTCTGTGAACTGAAGTGTTTCTAAACTGTTTTTGGTCGAACAAAACAAGGAATTTGAAGAGAATACATCAACTTGTGCTCTGGGAACTTTGACACACTCTATATTTTCTGCCCATTAATTGAGAAAACAATCAGCAGATTCATTGATGATGAAATCATTGTTAGTTTAGAGAAAAAAATGTTTTTGTTAAATGTGAAAATGAATGAAAAACCCTACTTTCAGCACTACCGTGACTTGCATCTGAGAAAATGTTATTATCTTATGCAAAGTAAATGCTCACAATGATCCAGTGGTCAGACACACAGGGATCTAGATTGAATGCCTTTTCATTAAATACTTCTCATACATGCAGACATTTGCATCTAAATCACAACACACACTGCATGTGAAAGCCTCAGCTGTCTTTGACACCTGTTTAAGTTGGCTGAGTGCTTCCTCTGTGTTGCCTTACAATGCTCCAGGTCGCCCATCGTTGTCTACTATGGAGCACGAACTCTAACTACTCAATTAGAAAATTCATCAGAATTCTATTGAATATGAGTCACACATGGATGAATGTCTCTGTCACATCAAATACACAGTTGACTACACATGTAATGTATCTTTTCTCCTGTGATGATTTTCACTGCTGTATTCTACCATCAGGTTTGCTGGAATGGGTAACCTGCTAAAAGTCCTAACAAGGGATATAGAGAACTATCCGCACTTTTTCCTGGACTTTGAAAGTAAGTCTGGCCGAGGAGTGGAACAAAGGGAGAAAGAGATGGATGGAGAAAGAGATGTGGGGGGTTTGTTTCTTTTCTGTCAGCAGGTCTCTGCCCCCGATGACCATGCCTCGATGAGTCTGCTTCTGCTCCTCTCTTTTTCTCCTCCCCCCTCCCTCCGTCTCCTCTCACTCGGTCACGACCTCCTGCTCTCTCAGCTCTGATCTGCCTTCTTTGTTCAAATAACTTATTGATGACTTTTTAACACCACGCGTACTTTCCTTCCTTTCTCTTTCTTGTATTTCCTCTCTTGCAGAAACCAAATGGGGAATCTGTTAAAAGTGCTCACTTGCACAGAGCTCGAGCAGGGGCCAAACTTTTTCCTTGACTTTGAAAGTGAGCACAGCTTTACCTGTCCTGCTAGGCCCCTCTTAATCCCAGTGTCATTTTTCTTTGACCTCTCAGTAGCTGCTCTGACTGGTCAGGGGTCAGCCTATTCAGCTATTGCACTGTCAACCTTTGCATGTATTATAAGTCATGATTCATTTCAGCATGTTTTTGAAATCCATTCACTGCGTGCCACGCTGAAGAAGAATGGAGCTGACCCTTGACCTCTGCCATCTGCTTTCACTAAGTCATCTGCCTGCATGCCCCTGTATGTGCACTGATAGTAGGACACCTTTGACACATGCATATGTGGCCTAATGTAATCACTAACTCATTATCATCAGCTCCATTAAGCAGTGTTTCTCTTCCTACATAATCTGTTCAGTAGTTATCATTTCATTATGTAGTCAGTGTTGGTTCAATATATAAGAGATGGAAAACATTCCTCCAGCCCTGCAGTAGAATATATTGCATCGACTACATTACTGCTCTGCTTCCTAATACTCACATAGAACAAATACATCAGTGTTGGTTTCTTTCCAAAACACAATGGGCCTCCACACTGCTACTCTCACCATGTAGCTGACCTCGGGCTCTGTTTATTCAGCTAAGAGGAGGTGATGGGTTCTGAAATGTTGTAATGTCACAGATGCTCTGTATTTAGAGCCGCTGTTCTTCTCTCTGTGGTCATGATGGGCAGAGCTTGTTACCTGAGAATCTGTAGCAGAAGCATCATGATCGTTTCTTGTGTTTTAGACCTTACATCGACTGCCACGATATCAAAATATGTGCTGAACACTGAAGCAAACCAAGCTAACGGGAGAGATGTGGCTTTGCAGTTCACTGTTCCTGTTGTAACCAGACAGGACATATGGGAGAGAACAGTTGGCCTCTCTGTAGGTTGCAGACACGGCAGAGAATTCATATTCTAGTACAATTAGTAGATTACTTTTTAATAGATTTATCGTTTAGTGTAGCAGGTTGCAGTAAATGCATCCCGCTCCAGCGGATTCAGTTCCATTATGGATACTTGAAAACTCATGAAACTGGTTTGGAGCTACTCGGTCTACAGCAGAGTGCTTCATTGTTTTCTAGACGACTCCAGTCTTCTCAGTGTAGTGGACTCATGAGGTCTGGAGGTTTGTTTTTGAAATTGAAGACGTCCCTCTGGCGTCACGGTTTGGTGGCAGACTGATGCTGTACCTGCTAAAGCTAAGACTGTTTAGTGAAGTGAAACAATGCTTTTAGCTTTGACACAGTTCATCATGCTGAGTGTCTTTATCCTCATCAACCATCGTCTCAATAAACGGACTGTGATGAGTGAGAATAACACTCGGCACTCATGCCCTTGTTCCCCCAGCCAGTGTTAAACACTGTCATTACTTATTTGATCAAAGCCTTTTCAAATCGAGTTGCAGTGTAAAATTTCAATCAGAAAATGAAAGATGAATTTAAAATGTAAAAAAGATTAAGTTGACTCTTGATGTGAAAAGGCACAAATGATCAGTTTTGAAATGTTTGTATTCACATTGACTGCTTAGTAGCTTAGCAAACTGTTGTCAGACATCCACCTGATATATACACACACACATTTACACCTTTGTGTGTTTGTGTCAGATGCACAGCCAACAGAAGGAGAGCGTGAGGTGTGGAACCAGGTGAACTCCGTCCTCCAGGACTCAGAGAACATCCTGTGTGGCCTGCAGGCGTACAAAGGAGCCGGCCAGGAGATCAGAGATGTGAGACACACACACACACACACACACACACACACACACACACGGCCTTCTGTTCTTTCTCTTCACCACACAATGCGTGCGACCCTACATGTCATATCTGAATCTGAACTCTTCTCCCCAGCAGACGGTACTCATGGTGCAGGATGTTGATGATCTGACAGTAAACCAAATATCTTTGAGTTGTTAGCTGATTACAATTTGGTAGTCAAAGGTCACTGTGGCCTCACAAAACATGTTTTTGACCACAACTCAAGAATGTATATTTTTACAGATGTCTAATAGAATAGAATGACAGATGTGGATGTAAGTAAACTGCAGCATGACTGTTTGGCAGAGGGATACAACGGCACGGTGTTCATTCTATTCATTTGTTTTGTTTCCAGGCGATTCAAAACCCCAACGACTTCATGCTGCAGGAGCGAGCCTGGAACTCAGTCTGCCCGCTGGTCATCAAACTCAAGAAGTTCTACAGTTTCTCTCTCAGACTAGGTACGTCACAGTGGAGGAGCTTCTCTGTGTTTGTCTTTTGAAAACGGCTCATGATCGAAACCTTTTCATCTTATTGAGTCACCTTCTTGGTCCAATAAAGGGAAAGTAGCATTCCTTGTCTTATTTTGAGGAAGATTTATTTTATTTTCAAAAGGCTTAAATTTCTCTCTCTTTCTTTTTTTACAACAAAATGTGTCTTTATATACAGAAGTCAAGTGAATGATGCATAAACCTAATGTTCATGTTGCACATTTGACAACTGGTCTTGTAACAAAATGAGTCAACTATAAAATCAAGCGTTCAGATCTTTGCTTCTCTTCTGTCAAATCTGTTCATGTAAATATATTCTCAACTGGACCTGAAAGAGGTTTTCATGTGTAGCAGCTGACGTCTTGTGTCTTTTGTGTGTGCGTGTGTTTGCAGAGGAGGCTCTGCAGAGTTTGCTGGAGTGCCTGACATGTCCACCCTTCACGCCTACTCAGCACCTGGAGAGGGAGCAGGCTCTGGCCAAACAGTTTGCTGAGATCCTCCACTTCACGCTGCGCTTCGATGAGCTCAAGGTCTGCTGGAAACTTAGTCCTCCTTCATTTCTTTACTCAGTGACACGCAAAGTACACTTGTGATGGTAAATGTGTTCTTTCTCCCAGATGAGAATTCCTGCCATCCAGAATGACTTCAGCTACTACAGAAGAACCATCAGTCGAAACCGGATAAACAACATGAATGTGAGTCACCACCAGTTGTTTTATAAGAGCAGATCTACAACAAATCCACTTGTTCTTACTGTGGTCTGTGATATTTCTATATTGGAGTTGGTGTGAGGGACATTCAACTGGCAGTGAAACGGTCTCAGTTTAATACAGATGTAGTGCTGAAGCACTGCCACTTTAGTCCACAGGGACCGCCAGAATCAACACAAAATAAAAAGTTCCTCAACATAACATGAAGTATCTGCAGTGCTTTCTCTGTTTAAAAGAGGAGACAATCTCAGAACGACACGAGAAAAGATGTTCACTGTGTTTTGATGTGTTTGATGTCACATCAGAGACCAGAAAGAGGCCAAACTAATCACATCAGGGGTACTGTAGTATTAATGGACTAAGTGTGAAAAAGTTACAACTATATACAATAAAGAAGAGGGAGATGCTTGTGCATTGGAAAGTGGAAACAATTGTGGTGAAACACACCCTCCTCCACTGACACCTGTTTGTTTGTGCACCTACAGTTGGACATTGAGAGTGAAGTCAACAACGAGATGGCCAACAGGATGTCTCTGTTCTACGCAGAGGCCACACCCATGCTGAAGACACTCAGCAATGCAACCACAAGCTTTGTGACAGAGGTGAGAGTGCTGCCACTGCAGTCAGTAACTACACAGTGACTCAGCAAATTTAAGGGAAACTTAGCATTTGTTGCATCCATTGTCATCATGATGTGGCTGGATGAGGAAGTCCAAAAAGACTAAAGGAGTTACACGTTGTGTCAGAAACCATATTATCATGTTGTAACAAGTTATTTTGGTTTTCTAACAACTTGAACAATCAATGAAGTCATTGTTGCATGTGTGTTTGCGTGTTGTATAGAACAAGACGCTTCCCCTGGAGAACACAACGGACTGTCTGAGCACCATGGCCAGCGTCTGTAAAGTCATGCTGGAGACGCCGTGAGTCACGATGCTTTTCTCTACACACAAAATCACTTTCGCTTTGAGAAAAGAAAGAACACATCAAATCAAGCAGCACTCGTTTTTCCGATATTCTCACAGTGACAAGTCACATCTTGTGATGGAGGTTTGTGTTGATTCAGCAGCTGTTGTGTTATTGTACCATCCTGTCTTGCTCGATAGATTGTCAGCATTAAGTGAGACAGGTTGAGTCCATGAATGTCAAGACAACACCTTGAGACTCTTGAATTTGATGCATATTTACATGCGGAAAGGGATATCCCAGTCATCCACACAGCCTCATGGCACATACAGTATGTGCACATGTATTTGTCCAACTGCGCACCAACAACTAATGTACCGAAAGTGCCAGTATTGATTATTTGGTGTTGAGTTGATGCAGATTGTTAGTAAAGACTTCAATCTTTCTCATTTCATAACTCTTTCCCTGTGCAATCCTCTTCCTCCCTCTCTTCCTGTGCATTCAGGGAATATTCTAGTCGTTTCAGCAGCGAGGACACACTCTTGTTTTGCATGAGGGTCATGGTGGGAGTCATCATTCTTTATGACCACGTCCACCCCAATGGTGCCTTCAACAAGTCCTCCAAGATAGATGTAAGAGGCACACACACACACACACACGTGTACAGGACTGAAGCGGTGTAACAGCATCACTGTGCAGCACGGATCTGTGTGGTGATGCAGCTCTGTTCTTTTCTCCTCAGATGAAAGGCTGCATAAAGGTCCTGAAGGACCAGCCAGCAGACAACGTAGAAGGCCTCCTGAATGCCCTCAAGTAGGTTCACTGTGGATCCACGGTTAGACTTTCATAAAATATTTGAGACTGGCCAGTAATCTTTATTTATCCATTCTGCCCGAGAAGTTCTGGAAAGTCGTGTATTTCAGTGAATGTTTTATTTTCTAATGTATTCCACTTCATATAGTAAATTTATCAGCCTCTTAATTTGTCAACTAAATATTGCCGCAAAGTTGTTGCCAATGTCAGCTTCAATATAAGTCCAAAAACCTAGTTCCCCTCTACCTGTACTGGTGTGTCACAGTGTTTTGGGGCTAAACTCAGAGTTGTATTAACAGACAAGAAGGAACAATCTACTTTTATAAGAACAAAAATTTCAAGATCCAAATCAGACAATGCAATGGACAGTAAATCCTGCTTGTTTCTCAAGATTACCAAACCGATCATTAATGTTTCTGTGTAATTGTTATACGTCAGGCTGAACCATGTGCCATCCTCTTTATTTACCTTTATTTTTACGCCTCTGGGCCTCTCCTGGTAACCCCACGTTTAACCTCACAACGCTTTGAATTGTGGGTAATTCCCTCTGGCAGAAATGCACAAAGTGTTAATAAAGGGCTCAAACTGTCTGCTTAGAAGTGACCTCAGTAGATCCATTCTGTCACCAAAGTGACCTCAGTAGA